AAACCACTTGCTCATAAAATATTGATACAAACCACAACAATAAAAATATAACTTACGTACAATGTTCCTCTTCAAGTATTGATTATTATGAAAGACGTAACCATGGTTCCCACGTAGTATTGATTATTATGAAACACGGAACATAACCATCACTCCCATATTGTATTCATACGAAAGCAAGAATAAAAAAGACAATGCACATGTGCCATCTGGACAACCAAAGACAATTCCAATTTTCATCCTAGGAAGAAAATGCAGAAATGCAGTTGTATTCAGCTACTAATGAACTAATGACTAATAGCACCAATGTCAATTATTGTATTTGGCCAGGTCTACGGCCCGTTTGGTAGAGCGGTAGGAAGGTGATTATAGCCAAGGAAGCACGGGTGCGGGTACGAGTACAGTACGGGTACGATTGCGGGTACGCCGATTCGGCAAAACTCAAAAAAAGTACGATACGGATACGGCTGCGGTACGTCGATATTTTTTTTTTTTTTTGAAATATAATTATGATTAAAGGATCCAACTTACAAATTAAAATTAAATATCAAAACTAAAAAAAGAACTACTCATTTTCCTATAATTTAAAACCATTAGGCGTTAAAAATAATATTTGTGAAATCTCTCACTTTGACATGTTATGCACTGTGAATATGTGATCATAATTTATTTTTAAAATCTTTCTTTTTGCTCATCAATTTGCTATTTTTATAGGGTGAGACCAAAGAAATAATAGGAGAGCAAAGAAAGATTTAAATTTAATTGCCAAAAATATTTAATAAGGTGCATATGATATAAGGGTGACGTAATTTATTCATCATAACAAAAATTATATAACATTCAGAAAAAAAATAAAAAATTCAACCTATCAAAGATTCTAAAAGTAATAATAAGATACCCATTAGATAAACCACTATCATAATATTAATCGGTTAAGCAAAAACTTAATATTAAGTAAATATTGTTCAATATTAATTTGTCATATTTTTTTGAAATATAAACTTTCAAAATATAAATATGCACATTGTTCCATCATTAACTTAAAAGTTAACTTTTTTATTTTTTATTTTTAAAAAAAATATACAAAAAAATAAAATAATGATATGTCATATTTTTTTGAAATATAAACTTTCAAAATATAAATATGCACATTGTTCCATCATTAACTTAATAGCTAATTTTTTTATTTTTCATTTAAAAAAAAAATATACAAAAAAATAAAATAATGATATAATCTAAAAAAAATTAAAAAACTAATAAACTGATTTTTAACCTAATTGTCAAAAAGGCCTGAGCTCTACTCTAATATGATATTTACTCTAATATGATATTGAAGGATGTGTACATAAGGGTGTTTTGAGAAGATGATTAAAAATTAATTTTTTAAATTTTTTAAATTTTTTTAAAAAATAATAAAAATTATGAAAAATAATATGATCTAAAATAAATTAAAGATTAAGAAATAATTTTTAACTTACTTCTAAAAAAAAAAAAAAAAAAAAAGGCTGTTAGTTGGAAGAATCTAGTACATCACTTTTTGTTTTTGTTTTTTTTTTTTGTCTTTTCTTCTTGACAGTTGGTGTGGTTGGAAGAGGTCCACCCTCTATTTTGTCTCTGATACTCTCGGAGAGGTGCCACATTGATGTTTGTTATTTTATCATCTAAAAAAAAAATTTCTTAAAAATTTGGAGTCCTTTTTAAATATGGAATCTTATTGCATTTCTCCTTGATACTTTAAATATAATATAACATTTCAATAATTATATTTTGACATTAAATATCAATTTCACTCTATTAAAATAATGTATATTACAGTTGGTGTGGTTGGAAGAGGTCCAGCCTCTATTTTGTCTCTGATACTCTCGGAGAGGTGCCACATTGATGTTTGTTATTTTATCATCTTAAAAAAAAAAATTCTTAAAAATTTGGAGACCTTTTTAAATATGGAATCTTATTGCATTTCTCCTTGATACTTTAAATATAACATAACATTTCAATAATTATATTTTGACATTAAACATCAATTTCACTCGATGTGTCAATGGTTAATGTGGCATTTGACATTACTCATTCATATTAATTTTGATATATTCCTATTTCATGCCTTTGTTTTGAAATAAAAGAACTTCTATATAAAATAAAAGAGTTCAAATTTTAAAAAAATATAGAATAATATATTTGACCTAACGAATAGAGAGATTTCATATCAAATTAACATATACTAATTTGCCACTTATGCTTTCAAAAAAAATTACCATATCAAGTTTTGAAGGTTTTGGTAGAAATTGTCACATCCACCCAATACTTCAAATCTGATGCAATACTCCAACAATTATATTTTGATATCAAGTATCAATTTCACTCGATGTGTCAAAAGTTAATGTAGCATTTGGTATCACTTCTTCATATCAATTTTGACATGAAGTTCCCTTCTGTCCTTTTTTTTTTGTTCTTTTATCTTAAATTAAAGCTTTGATGTGGCTCTTTTTCCTTCTGTCTTCATTTAAAGTATCAATGTCAAATTTTGAAGATTTGGGTAGAAAGTTTCCATGTTGAATTGATATATATCAATTTGTCACCTATGTTTTTTAAAAAATTTAACATATTAAATTTTAAAGATTTCGGTAGAGATGGAAATTGTCTAATTGACTTACAAAATGCCTCTACTTAAAATTCAAGTTAAACATGTCCAATTCTTAATTCAAACTTATATCCAATTGAGTTTTAACTATTTGTTTACCCAAATTAAGAGAGACTCAAATGTTTATTCAAAATTTTCAAGAACATTTTGTAGCTTTCAAATTTACAACTCAGCCATTACTGAAACTGTTACTCAAATTTATAAGTATGAGTTTGTGCATTAGAGTTTCATATCAAATAAATATTTTACTTAAATTTCCACTAAATTTTAAGCAAGGGGTAGAGTCGGCCTTAATAAAGCTTGCGTTGATTGTGTGTTTTTTTTTTTTTTTGCTATTAGAAATATAGAAAATTGAAAGTTTGAAAATTACTACTCTAGTTTTCATATCATTTTATTGTAGAGTGAAAATAGTTTTTGAAAATTTAAAAATAACTTTCTAATATTTCTTAAAAATCATTGTTCCGAATTTCTTTTCTTCCCAAAAAGAGTTTGGGAAAACAATTCACCAAACAAATTTTCTTCTTTTCTCAAAAAATAAAAACAAAAAATAAATGGAAAACCATCACTAAATGAGCCAAGTTTTCATCAATGAAATTGAAAATCGATTTGTATCTTTATTGCAGAACAACCTATGTGATCTTATTAATCTTATATAAATGAATTAATCTCGATAAATACTTCCATCTTTGAAAATCAATTTGTGTTTATTTATTTGAAAATCAATTTGTGTTTATTTATCTTTATTACTGAACAACTTATGTCATCTTATTATATAAATTAATTAATCTCTGTAAATAATTCCATCCACATGATCATTTTTTTATTGCTTACATTTACAAGTCAACAACTAATCACCATAAACACCATTAATCTGTTATAAAAGTCTTTTGAAATGTCCTTTTTAAGTCAGTTGAATTATTTTTTTTTTGAGGACTAGTCAGTTGAATTACCATTTGCACATCATCAACTCCATACCTAAAAAGTAATTGTGTCAATATGAAAAGGAAAAACTTTGCCCACTGTCATTGCTAATGAAGACAATCCAACAACCCATCACTATAGTTACAACTCATTGAGAGAAGCATGTATGGTGTACTGATCACTCATGGAAATTGAAAATTATTGGTTACTCTTTAAGGAAAAAAAATTAAAAATAAAAAATAAAATTGTAAGATAAGATGGGTCATGGGGGGATAGCAATCAGCTTGCTTGTTTTTACTTTTCAGAAAATTCTACTTTCTTAATTTTCGTATTTTTTTTTTATTTTTACTGAATTTTTTTAATGTTTTAAGCAATTTTTTTACTTTTATAGATACACCTAACATAAATACACCTAAAAAGTAAAAAAATTGTAAAATTTAAAAATTCACTAAATACCAAAAATATAAAAAAGTACAAGAATTCAATACATTTTTTGTACTTATCAATTTTTTAAAATATTTTTTCACAAATTTTTTACTTTTTAGATACACCTAACTAAGGTGCATCTAAAAAAGTAAAAAAAATATTTAAAATTTAAAAAATATTCACTAAAAACAAAAGAATACAAAAATAAAAAAAACTAAATTTTCAAAAAACTTAATCTAGATAACTCAAACCAAACACACTGAGCCTCCGTTTGGGAAGTGGGTTGGCTTTTTGGCTTTTTGGGTTTTTTGGCTATTTTAGCCTGGGTTAAAAAGCTTGGTTTGGGAAGGGCTTTTTGGCTTTTTGGCTTTTTTGGCTTTTTTTGTGAGAGAAGAATGTAATGATTATGGGTTGGATGTGATGTTTTGTTTGTTATGGCTAAAATAGCCTATTTTGTTTTTTGTGGCTAAAATAGCCAAAAAAACCTGAAAACCATCTTGCCAAACAGAGGCTGAATAGCACTCTCTGTTCTAGTCCTTGTTGGGTAATTTGTACACTGATTATAACAGCATTTGTGAAGCTTGGTCTACTCATAAAGCACAAGGCAGGAAAAAAAAGTAATCACCTTGCTTGTTTCTACTTTTCAAAAAATACTTTTCAGAAAATTTCATTTTCTTATTTTTCGTATTTTTTTATTTTTACTGAATTTTCTTAATATTTTAAGTAATTTTTTTACTTTTTAGATACATCTAACATAAATACACCTAAAAAGTAAAAAAATTGTAAAAAAAATCTTTTAAAAATTCACTAAATACCAAAAATATAAAAAAAAAAAATACAAGAATTCAATACATTTTTTGTATTTTTATATATTTCTTAACTTTTTAAAATATTTTTTTATAAATTTTTTACTTTTTAGATACATCTATTTAAAATTAAAAAAATATTCACTAAAAACAAAAAAACACGAAAACTAAAAAAAGTCAAATTTTAAAAAACTTAATCCAAAAAATTCAAATCAAACTCACTGAATACCATTACTGCAAATTCCCAAAGAAACTTCACACAATAGTACTCAACTTTGCTTACAAGAAGCCACTCTCAAGAGTCAAGCCAAGTATATAACTGTGTAATTTTTATTTTAACACCAAGAAGAGCAAATATTGTGATTTCTCAAACAAACTGAGAGAGGTACTCCTCCACGGTGGTGTATTTGACATCCGGGTAAAGCTCAGAAGCCTCAACCCCAAACGAGGGCTCGATCTCAAAGTTGGTCTGGTCTCCCTTCACAAAAACCGAGTGGTTGATTGATAATATTATATTGATTGGAAATGGGGCCTCTGCAACAATGGAATTAACAAATGTCAACCACTTAGCCAACATACTAAAATATATTAAAAAATAAAAATAAAAATAAAAAATTGCTTATATCAGATTTTGATTAGTGGTATGAATAATTCGGTGCAAGTTTTGTTACTGACCTTGGATTTCCTTCAGAACTTGCTCCTCCGGAATATAAATTCGTTCAAGGGTCTTGCCGATCTTCTTCTCCCAAAGTGAAACCAGCTCGTTGAATGAGTAGATGTTTTTGGGAGGCCTAATGTAAACGATCTTGTTCAATGTTCTTGGGTCATCCACAGTTTTGATGGTGTAGGTGCCAATATCATGTTCCGCATTGAATATTGCTACAGAAACAATTACAGAAGAAAAAAATAAAATACAGACCAAAAATTAAGACCTGCAAACCACTTGCTCATAAAATATTGATACAAACCACTAAAATAAAAATATAACTTACGTACAATGTTCCTCCTCAAGTATTGATTATTATGAAAGACGCAACCATGGTTCCCACGAAGTATTGATTATTATGAAACACGGAACATAACCATCACTCCCATATTGTATTCATACGAAAGCAAGAATAAAAAAGACAATGCACATGTGCCATCTGGACAACCAAAGACAATTCCAATTTCCATCCTAGGAAGAAAATGCAGAAATGCAGTTGTATTCAGCTACTAATGAACTAATGGCTAATAGCACCAATGTCAGTTATTGTATTTGGCCAGGTCTACGGCCCCGTTTGGTAGAGCTGTAAGAAAGTGATTATAACTTATAACTTAAAAGCTTATAACTTATAGTTATGAACATAAGCTGATTTTTGACTTATAAATTAAGCTTCTTCTCTCCCACTCAAAGAATAAGTTGATTTTTGACTTACAAAAAGCTATAAGCGGTATTGTTAAGCTAAACCAAACACATTAAAATAGTTTAAATTAAACTAAAAACTAAAATAAGTTAGAAATAAGCCCTACCAAACAGGGCCTACGTCCTAGTTCAGCTACTGATGTAAAATCCTCCAGTTAAAGAGCTCTACGCCCAGTGAAAATCCGTGTTCAGACTGAACGTTTCCATGACACTCTTAGTAGCCCAATAGTACTTGCTTTCATTGTTTTTTGAAGCGGATTTATTTCAAATAATTGAATTTTACCAGTAGTGCTACATGCACTAACTAGTGTACTAACTAGTGTACCAACATTAGTTGTGATATTATTACTTATTACACTAATTACAAATACCAAAAACCTCTTAAATTATGTCACGTTATCAGTTGATACACTAATTAGTACATTAATTGGTACATATAGTATTATTCGAATTCTACCCATGCTGTAAGAAAAGCCTTAAATGCTTACTTTAACTACAGCCGAAAAAAAAACCCATTTTCCATTCATGCCATGTTTACATTGAAATCCATTAACATAGAAGATTAATGTGAAAAAAAAATTCATGACTTAATTAGAGAGACCGGTAAGAGCTGAGTTGGAAGAGAGACAGTTGAATACCTTTGGGATTTCCATCACCAGGGATGATTGCCTTATCTCTGGGTGGAGGTGGAGCAAAGACCCCAGGCTGCGCTAACGTAGGAAGAAAATAGCCAGCAAAGTAGTTGGAAGATACATAGGAATGGAATTCCCTCGGCCTCAATAGTTCTGCGGATTTGAACCTTCACTGCAAATGTAGATTTTGCTGGCTCAACTACATGAAGACGGTCCACATCGTTTCCAAACTCCGAGGGCAAGAATCTCTGGATCGTTCAATATAAAATCATAACAAACTCCACAATATTAACTCTGTTGGAAATTATTAACATGTGAAAAGATTGAAAGTTCAATGTTAGAATGGTTTAAGAAGATAAAATGAACATAATCAGCCACCATTTGCAACTTTTTTTTTCCCCTGTATTTTTGTCTATGGTAAAGTTTCAGAAATTTGTTGTCCATATTTGAAAATATTTATTCACTTTTCAGGTGTTCTAAAGTAGGAGCCCATTAAATCCACCCAAAAAATAAATAAATAAATAATTCAATTTTCTTGAGGCTTTTTGGTGGACTTTTTTCAAAATTGTGTGGGCACACACTACGCTACGTATGTGTGAAGCAGTTAAGTTCCTAAAGATAGTTACTACAGGTTTGAAATGGTTAGATCTGAAAAGGTATTTTGGGTATAGAGAAATGGTAACAAAGTTTCAAAGGGCTACGTGCTTTATATAATAATATATATTTTATTTTAGGGCAATGATGGGAGGCCACAAATTCTGTGGCTCAAATGACTCAAAAATGCCAAAACGATGTCGTTTTGGGTACAAAATAACTCTAAAAATGCCAAAATGACGTCGTTTTGGCATTTTCAGACCATTTGAGCCAGAGAATTTGTGGCCACCAAACATTTTCCTTTATTTTATCCTTAAATTTTATAGAGGACATAGGAACACCTCAAAAAAAACCCCCTTTTTTTTCTTTTTTTTTTTTCTTTAAATGTGGAAAAATCACTAAACACACAAACTAGTTGGTGTCATATAATTGTCTCAATTAACAAATACTAACAGAGGATTCATTTTCAAAGCATGGTACTCCTAGATTCCAAATAATACAGTAACTTGATATTCATTTTCTAGACTATATGCCCCAATAATTATTGTCAAAAATAATATAAATCATAACCCAAAACAACAATTTTTTTTTTTATAATTATTTTATAATCATGTGGAGAGGACAAATGAGGCAACAAAGAAGGCAAATCTTAACCTTGATGTTTCCAGCTTCTTTAATGGCAGCGATGATCTTGGTCTGATCTGCTAACTGCATAGATCCAACCGTTGAAATCACCACATCCACCTGCTTAATCGCCTTCACCAAACTCTCGTGATTGTGCAGATCACCCTGTTTCCAATAAACAAACAATCATTCTCAAATCCACTATATCTACAATTATATACATATAGATACACATAGTTATGATGAATATACATACATGGACCAAAGTGACGCCGGAGTTCTTGAAACCCTCGATGAGTTTTCCCTTAACAGGATCGGAAACAGTGCTCTCTCTCACCAAAGCGAAGGTTGGGTGGCCAGACTTGGCGCTCGCTTCGACTACGAATTTTCCGATGTATCCTGTTCCGCCGATGATCAGAATTTTGCTTTTCTCGGCCATTGCGAATTTTCCACGAAAATGAAGAAAAGAATCTGTGCGTACAGTCTGGTGGTACCAAGTGTTTTTTGCATGGACAGAGCCAGCGGGAGCGCAATTTATCGACCAGGCTAGTTGTTGAATTTACCAAATTAGCCTTGCTTGTTGGTACTATTTGCTTGTCAGCTTTTGTAGCCTTGTTTGGTGGGATCTTATTGGAGCACAATATGGAATCGCCAAAGTATGGGTTGGGTTTTTAATCTTTTGACTTTTTGAATTTTGGGGGTTAAAATGTTTATTTGGATTATTTTTTTGATTTTTATGGAAGACCGCGTGAAATGATTGTAGTATGAATGTGATATTTTATTTTTTTAATTTTTTAATCTTTTTGATTAAGTTAGTTAAAAAAAATTAAAAAAACACACTTGTCAAACGATGCCTTTCTTTTTTTAAAGAGCCTTTAAGTTGTTAAACAACCAAATTTACATTAGAAAAATGCCTTAGACCCCCAGCTGGGGTCTTCTCCTATTGGCCCAAAAAATTGTTTTTTTTTTTTTTTTTTTTTTTTTTTTTTTTTTTTTTTGATTTTCGGCCATTACCAGCCCCCCACGTGGAGGTGGGGGTGCTGGGGGTCTCTCCTGCTGGGGGGTCTCCAGCAGGACCGTTTACATTATTGAGTAATATTAAGATCAAAATATGAATAAGGGTATTTGATAAAGTGGTGGTGTAATATTATTTGTAATTTGAGATTTCGAGTTTAATTCTTATGAAAACAGGTTTAATATATTTTATGGTGATAGTTTATTTGTAAATATTTCTTATATTTATAATTATTCTTCTACTTATTGACCAAAAAAAAAAAAAAAACTATTTTATGACATAAATATATATAAAAAAAATTATCTAATATTTAGATCATGAATTTAAATAAAAATTTAAAGAAAGAATTAAAAATTTGTTTACATTTAATTCACATTTTTTTCATCTTTTTCATTTATCTTTTTAAATTCTTATTTAAATTCATAATTCGAATATAACGTTAATGAAGAACTGGAATTAAACCTAATACATCTAGGGCCGTTTTGGGAACCAAAATAAAAAGTCACGTTTTTGTCAAAATGTTCAAAAACGCAAGTGGCAAAAACGCAACAAAATTGGTTTGGGAAGTGCCAAAAATGCAAGTGTGAAATTACAAATTAGGACCTATGACAAAAAAAAAAAAAAAAAAATTATGTTAGGTAAGGGTATTTTGGTCATTTTAATTTAATTTGACACCATAAACAAATATTAAACTAAAAAGCTAAAAGTCAATTTTTTACTAACTTCCCAAATCACTTTTCAAAAAGTTAAAAAGTTTGATAAAAAGTCAAAAGTCAATTTTTTACCAACTTTTCAAAACACCTGAGGTTTGAACAATGTCAGGATCACAAAATGATAACAAAAAATTTATGGATGACTGCGATTAAACCTAACTATGGTGGTATGAATAAATAAATTTTAACATTTGAATATATTTTATGTGATCCTTGTGGTTTATTCTATATTTTTATTTTGCGTTTTTGACATGAGTAAATATTATCAACAATGTCAGGGATACTTATATATTTACTAACAATTTTACTAATACATTCACAAATTTTGATAAAATTAACCATCACTTGGTATGGAACCCACATCAACTTGTAAGTGTGTTAGTAAAATTGTTAATATTCCTAGCATTTTTCAAATAATATTTAATGCTTTTATGACATTACTTTTTAAAATAATGTTATATGCACCAATTTGTACAATAACTAGTGTATCAATTGAAGATGTGATATAATTTAAGAAGTTTTTAGTATTTATAATGTAATTAATAAGTGAGATCAATAATAATATCATAATTAATATTGATATATTAATTAGTACATTAATTAGTGTGCGTAGCACCACCGTACTTTTTTTGATAAAACTTTTATGACATTACTTTACACCAATAGAAAATATCTTACGGGATTTCGTTAGAGTATTTCCAATGGTTAATTAAAATAACTTTCATTGGTAAAAAAATGACAACTTGAGCAAAAATGTGTTTTTCATTACTATGCCAAATCTAATGAAAACTAATGTTTGAATAAAGAACGACTAGAAACCAAAAATTAATTTCAATTTTATTTCTAAATTATCATCGAAATATGTTTTTTTCATTGGCATTACCAAAATGACAATAATGATGCTCAAAATACCAACATCTAGTAGTTGGTAAACCAGAGCTTTATTGATATGCATCAATTGTACAGTAATGCAAGGTGCCATGTGCACTTCTAAAAATTCACCACATAATCAGTAATGTTTATTTATTTACGAAAAAACTCTCAAAATTTAAAATACGTAAATTAAATTTATTCTAAATATGCCCTACAAAATTTAAATTTAATTCAAATTTTGAAAAAAAATTTAGCATGTAACATTTTTGCGAAAAAAATATTCTAAAAATCACGCTTTATTGTTGTTCAAATTGAAATGGGACAGTGATAGAAAGAGTAATTAATCTCAACATTTGCAAAGTAGAAAGGGCAAAAAAAAAAAAAAAAATTAAGAAGAGAAGAAATAATTAATTTTGTTTTGTATTTTATTTCTTATCATGTAGGTGGATTTGAATTGAAGTCCTAACACACCCGTTGAACTTACTAATGCTATCTATTTTATTCTCAAATTCACTTGCAATAACGTGTCAAAAGAATTAAGCTTTATATAGTTGAATTAGTGAAAATTAACCATTAATATGTCAAATTGTAAGTTAAATTAAAATAAACTTAGATTTTTTTTTTTTGGTTGCTCATTAAAACCTTAAATCTAAGGAGAAAGGAATAATAAGATCAACCCCAATGTCTTACATGAAACTTGAACTCACAACCTCCATTATGGTAGTTAAATAGCATACCATTGTAAATTTGTAATACAGGTCATCAGTATCTTTTTTAGAAAATTTAAATATTTTGTTTTTCCTATATTTAGACTTGTGTATGGGCATAATTTTCAAATATACAAATAATCAAGAGTTAACCAAGGAGGGTGTTTTTCCTAATGGTGTGTTTGGTTGGAGGATTTGGGAAGGGATTTGGAAATGGAAATAGAAAAGGTAGGTGAAATGTGAATAAATCATGCCTATATTTGACATAGTTTTACATACTTTTTCTTTTCCCTTTCCAAATCCCTCCTCAAATCCTCCAACTAAACACAATATAAAAGAGAACCATATACAATAGTGGTTGGTGATGTATCTAGCCACAACTTGATGCAAGGTTCATTGTTTTTAATACTTGTATCTAGCTGCGATTCCAAGCAACGTTCACGGGTTTGGGAGCAAACAATGATTTTCTATCTTCATATTTCCCAAGAGTAATGCTATATAAACAAATATCTCATTTATGATTTTTTTATATAATGATATTAGCATATCACTCGTGTTATGCACAGATTGTATTTATAATTATCTATATATGTGATTGTGATTTTTAAATATATATATTTTTTTAAAGGTCTTCTTTTTTTACTTTTTTATATTATATTAAAGTTTAATATTTTGACAATAATAATATATGTTGGACTTTTCAACGAATTAAATGTCTTTTTTTATTTTTATATTATATTAAATTTTAATATTTTGATAATAATCATATGTGTTGGACTTTTCAAGAAATTTTTTTTTATACTTGTTCTTAAATGTATTAAAGTGTTATTATGATAGATAATAATCATATGTGTTGGGACTTTTTCAGGAATTCATGTGTTGGATTTCAAAGAATTTTTTTTATACTTGTTCTTAATGTATTAAAGTGTTATTATGATGGTAAGACTTGGTAGAAGTTAATAAATGCTAAGATTTTTTTTTAAGTGTTATTATGAGGGATAATAATCATATGTGTTGGGACTTTTCAAGGAATTCATATGTATTGGATTTCAAAGAATTTTTTTTTATGCTTATTCTTAATGCATTAAAGTGTTATTATGATGGTAAGACTTGGGAGTTGGGAGAAATTAATAAATGCTAAGATTTTTTTTTTAAATAAAAAAATCATGAAATTTAGATTGGGAGATTGGAACTCCCACAAGACTTGAGGTTAAAAACCCTATTTTGCTTAATATATAGTATAGATGATTCATTATGAACTATTCATTTCAAAATAAAAACAGTATTAAAAATGTATTTATGTTCAATGATGACATCATTATCACATCAATTTTATAGAATTTTTGAGTTATGCTAAAAACTCCAAATGAATTATCAAATATTTTACCAAACCTCAATATTTGATAATTCATTTGGGGTCGTTAATATTTTTCAAAATTTTTTGTATAAATTTTATATATGAATAGAATTTTTCTTTTTCATAATCTAACATCAAGCTAACGTCATCATGATTCAAAAATAAGTTTTGAAAGTAAATGTTAGCAAGTGTTCTATAAACATTATTCAATGTTAAAATGCATGTAAAAATATTTTAAAAGTATGTGAAAATATCAAAAAAAAAAATGTATTAATTTTAATAAAAATATATTGAATTTAATGAAAAATATATCATATTTTTTTTATTTTTTTTCTTTTACTTATATCATAAAAATAGTTATTAGCAAGATTTTATTTTGAAAGTGTGCACAAAATACTTTATGAGAAGTTCACGGATTAAGATTAACAAATCAAACTAAAGTTATTTTTTTAGCGGTCTATGCATAGTTAGTAATAGTGTGATTATTTAAAGATTTTAGAATATTATTTCACACCATTCATTATTTAATATTTATCAGGTTATTTATAAAAAAAATTAACAAAAAAATTAAATCTTATTATTCTAATTAATTAATATAAAATTGGGACATCACAAGAATTTATCTAACAAGTAAAAAAATAATTTCTATTAAATAATTTCTACTAAAAATAATAGGATGAAAATTAACCACATGGCGAGCTCACATGACTGACTAGACCGTTCAATAATACACTATTGAAAAATTATTTGGTGCTTAACGTGATGTTTCTTCTCATTAATTATAAATTTTATGTTATTTTATATTTTTAAATTATTTAATATAAAATTATAAGTTTACTTGCCTCATCAATC